GAAGTCACTATATGGACTGAAACAAGCTCCAAAACAGTGGCATGAGAAATTTGACAAAGTAATAGTGTCAAATGGTTTTAGGATACATGAATCTGATAAGTGTGTGTACAGTAAGTTTATTGGAAATAGAGGTGTAATCATATGTCTATATGTAGATGACATGCTTATTTTTGGTACTGACAATGATGTCATTGAAAGTACTAAAAGTTTCTTGTCGTCTAGCTTTAGTATGAAAGACATGGGCTTGGCTAACGTAATTTTGGGTATTAAGATCAAACGAAAGGACAATAATTTGATTCTAACCCAGTTGCACTATATTGAGAAAATTCTTAAGAAATTTAATCAATATAATTGTACACTCATGTCTATACCTTTTGATTCAAATTTGAAATTGTATCCTAATATTGAAAGAGCTGTTGATCAGCTAAAATACTCAAGGGTAATAGGTAGCCTGATGTATGCCATGACTTGCACTTGACCTGATATTGCTTTTGCAATGGGAAAACTTAGTAGATACACTAGTAATCCCAATAGTGTGCATTGGCATGCTGTCAACCGAGTACTTAGATACTTGAGGAAAACAATAGACTATGGAATAGTCTATAATGGCTATCCAACAGTGTTGAAAGGATTCACGGATGCTAGTTGGATAACTGACCATGAAGATCACTCATCCACGAGTGGTTGGATTTTTACTCTCGGAGGAGGAGCTATCTCCTGGGGTTCTAAGAAACAAACATGCATAACAGACTTAACCATGGCATTAGAGTTTGTAGCGTTGGCTTCTTGTAGCAAGAGGCAAAGTGGCTAAGGAATCTTGTTAGAGATTAAGATATGGCCAAAACCTATGCCACCAATATCTTTGCATTGTGATAGTGAAGCAACTCTATCACGGGCCTATAGCCATGTCTATAATGGAAAGTCTAGGCATATAGGACTGAGACATAGCTATGTCAGGCAGTTAATCACAGAAAGTGGGATTACCATTAGTTATGTAAAGTCAAATGAAAACTTGGCTGACCCCTTAACAAAGGGACTTGCAAGGGATTTGGTGTGGAAAACATCAAAGGGGATGGGTCTCAAGCCCACTTAACATAATCACTCCTAGTGGAAACTCAACTCAACGCTTGAAGAAACATCAAGTCTTGAGTTCAATTAGCCCAAGTACACTATATGTCGTGATTACAAGCACTTAGTTTTATTTCATTTTCATCCCAAGGTTGAAGTGCTTGGCACCTGTAATGTGAAAAGAAGAGGATGAGTTAGCAAACTCTTAATAAGCTTACAACTGGGTTGTTAGGGTACTGTAAATTACAGGGGTACTCTCAGTAAGCTTACCTATGTGAGTGTAGGAGGTGGTGCCGCTTCCTATGAGTCCAAGGGCTTGACTCTAGAGCACTCATGAAATAGGATATAGACACAAGGCCAATCCACGTGTCGGTTTGTTTGAATACTTGGGGTAACCTGTACTGTACGTGAGACATGTTCGGGTAGTTGTATAAGATCGCTAGTTCAAAGACAAGTCTACTATGCCATCTTGACTAAGTTTGACATGTCTTCACTAAGTGAATGATTCAAATCTTAAGATATCTTCACCTATGCATAAGGCTGCCAAGTGAACCAAGAGTCATCATCTGGTATTTTGAAAATGGTGGGGGAATGTTGGGGAATTTTTAAAATGGTTTTCAAAATTTATAGTTTAATTTTTGGGTGTTTTAAAAACCTTCCATGTTTTTCTTTGGAAAGCATGAAATAAGCTTGGAGACTTTGTCCCACATTAGAAAGAGAGCAAAACATGGAGCACTTAATAAAGTGCTGCATGGAATACTCTTTTGAATATGGAATTATGGGATGAAAGCTAGTGTGCATACACCCACACCGCAAGGATGGTACTTCGCACCATCTGCACACGCACATGCGCGCATGCTCGTGATGTAGGCAGTGGGCTGTGTGGCATTTGATGGCGCACTTTGCACGGATGCATCGGCACAAGGCGCCAGGTGGGCGCTTTCCTATTTGCATCGGACAAGTTGGAGCGATGACGTAGATTCGACATGGCATAGGTGACATGGAATACAGTTAGCTCCACATGGCAGTGACGTATCGTCCGTTAGCGATGAGTCAACCAACCGATCAAATGGTTGTGTGTCCGATCTAGAGCCGGTTGATCATAGTCGTTAATTAGAGATGTGCGCGATTGTACTTATGAGATGGCACCTGATCGTGATCAGGTGTGATTAGTCAAGGCATCTATTCGGTATTAGAATGATTTGCACCATGGATCGTCGATCCAATGATCAGATCTGATCGGATGTGATCAAGAGACATGACCATTCGATCAGATCCATCAAGGCCTATAAATAGGCTACGAAATCAGCTATTTCATTCAATCCAAAATCCTGAAAAGCATTCGTGCAATTCTCTCTCTCTCTCTCTCTCTCCTTCTTGATTTTGAATTTTCGATCAAGAGTTTCTTAAGCAAATTTCTATTTTTCTTATTGATAATCAAGTTCTGCAGATTTGATTATCAGTGTCCTAGTTTCTTGATTATATCAAGAGTATTCTGATCTGTTGTCATCAGTGCAGACGCCGATAGACTAGATCTTTAGATCAGGCTTCATGTATTCTGGAGGTAAATTTGTTGTAACCCACTGCACACCTTTTGGTGGGTTCAAATATTGTCTTTAGGGAAGCGACTAAGTAACGCTACTTGAAGCATCAATTTTCTGTTCTATATAGATAAGATCATTGCCAAGTTTTGAAGACCCGAAGACCACCAATTGAAGAATCCTAGACGAATTGTTCTAACATTAATAATATATATTGATGGATTAAATTTAAGCATAAATATAGGAAATTTTTTTTGATAGAATTTAGATGTTGTGATGATCTATCTGGTTGACAAAGTTACAGCATCTTGAAAAGGCTATTGTGGATTGTGACTTTCAAAATTACACAAAGTGGGAAAAATATATATATATATATATTCACCTTCCTCATTTTGTCTTGATTGATTTCATTACAAAAATAATTGTACCTTTCAAAATCCGTGGAGAGATCAAATTATTGCAGGCTGCTGGAAAAATAAACTTCTGAGAAACATCATAAGCCCTAAATCGATCCACTTGTTGGTTCGATGAATTAATTAATTTATGCATTAAGCTCAAATGTCAATCAAGATTAAGTTAATTGCTTAGTGAAGAAAAAAATAGTGCAATTTGGTTGAATGCATGAATTCTTGACATTGGATTTGTGCAGTTGCAAAACAATTAACCCCCCCCCCCCAAAAAAAAAAAAGAAGAGAAACAAAGGATATATAAGGGACTCTAAATGAATTTAGACTACATAATTTTTTTTTTCTATTCTTGATTTGTGTGAATAATAAAGAGAAAGTAAATTGCTTTGAAAAATGCAAACCATTGAAATTTTATGCTGGCAAAACTGGTTTAAAGAGAAATGGTAGTAATATGCATACATGGATGCAAACATACAAAAGGATGTATGCACTTAGATACACAAACATGAAAAATGCTTTAAAAGTTCAAGTTTGGCCTGTGTACCAAGTAAAATCAATAATGATAAAAAATCCACAACTAAAATGGTTTGTGATTAACCAAAACGAAAACAATAACAACAATATCACAGATTCAGCTGCTGCTCATGAAGAACAAAACTATTATAGCATTTTTACATAAACAGAATTTAACCCTATTCTGTTTTTTAAGATATTCTAATACAAGAACATTTTGCACAAGGCATTTTGAAATAGAAACATAGAATTGGTTCTTCAGCTATCCAAATTTGGTTTATAAGACTCAACTATATTATCTACTGAAATTGATTAAATAATTTGTTCTGAGTGTACAGTTGCAAGAAAAATGCTCTTGATAGAATGCAACCCAGCTACAACATCACTGATGTTCATCCTTTCCTTCGGCAGCTCTGCAGAACAAGTAACTCCAATTTGCAAAATCGAAATCAAGAACTCCTGGGTTTTTACTCTGATATCCAGAGTTTTTTCTTCTACTTCCCAAAGAAGCATTGGATCTGCAACTTCTACCACTGGATAAGGCAAAGCCATTTTAACGAAGTTATGAAGGTTCAGACTATCTTTGAACATATCATCAGTGGGTCTCTTCCCTGTGAACATTTCTAACAAGAGAATCCCATAACTATACACATCTCCCTTCGTTGTCACCTCGCTTCCCATACCATACTCTGCAATAAACACATCATGCATTAAATTGTAGCTGTAATTGGAAAAATGTGTTTCTTCATAAGCACATAACCATTGACATGAGAATCTTGAAATGATATTGATTGAAATGGCAGTAAAGTGAACAGACCCGCAAGCCTTCTAACAAAGCCCAACCTTGAGGGATAACAATCAATTAAATTATCAAAACACTCAAATCCTTTCTATACATCAGTTGTTTCATTAGAAAAGGCCATCAATGATTTCAATAAGTTAATACTAATCTAAATTCTTATGAAAAGATAAATAAATAAATTTAAAAACAAGTAGATAAAGGAGGGTAGCAAAAAAAACTTCTTACGACTCATTTATGTTAATATGTTTGTCAAGTATCTTGGCATGCCAGTCTTTGAGGCCAATTATAACAAAATCCACTGATACACATATTATTCATGAAACAGTGATTTTCGAGTTTTCAGATGTTTCATATTGAAACATGGTCTAGTGAGAAAATAGTAAAATCAAGTAGGGTGAAACTCCTAACAGAACTAGATATCTTTATTCTAAGGTCCTAAAAAAATATATATAGTTTTGGCATTTGGAAATTGGTTTGGTAATCGTAATTTCTTGTTACAGTATGTCACCCCTAATCATTCTGAGGCCAACTCAGATTGTCTGTGAAAAAGGAAGAATAAAAGAAACTACAAATTATGCCTCGGAAGGTTGGGTTATTAAGCTATCCGTGTGAGCATATGGGTGTGTTTCTTGCGTGAATTCAATTTGCAAATAAAAGAATCCTCCAAAGAATGTAGAAAAAAATATAGAAATATAATTAATGAAGCGGATCAAAATAATATTTACCTAGAGCAGTGTATCCAATAGTTCCTCTAACTCCTGTTGAGCTTCCTTGCTTTGCATTGAAGTTATGGATGGCTTCTTGCAAGAATCTTGCTAACCCAAAGTCGCCTACATGACCAATCATGTCCTCATTCAGAAGAATATTGCTTGGCTTCAGATCACAGTGGATTATTGGTGTTTGGCAATCATGGTGAAGATAATCCAATGCACACGCAACTTCAATAGAAATGTTCAATCGCTGATGAAGACCTAGTTTCTTTGGTTCATTGTGCAACAAATCCAGTCCCGTGATTGGATGCAACCAGTCGTCCAGACTTTCATTTACCATGAAATCATAAACCAGGGCCTTAAAATCATTACCTTGATAACCAACACCTGAACATGCGGTCAGTACCTTAACAAGTTTGCGATGTTTAATGTTCCTCAAGGCCTTACACTTGGCTAAGAAAATTTTGGAAGCCCCATGACACTGGAGGTTGAGTACCTTCATGGCAACAATTGTTCCATCATGTTCAAGAATTCCTGTATACACAGACCCAAAACTACTAACACCAATTAAATTTCCTGAAGAGAATCCATCAGTAGCTTTGAGAAGAGTTTGATAAGATACTTTCAAGAATGATTTTTTTAGTGAAACGGAAGAAAGATCTTTTTTTGCCTTTCTATACCAACAAATATATAGAATGCACAACATAAAAGATACCCCTAAAAGCCCACTACATATAGAAATTGCCAATTTTGAAGCGAGAGTCAATCTCCTCTTTTTGGACCATATGGAGTTGCACAAGGACAACTGTAATTCAGGTACACCTCCACAAAGCTTGCTATTCCCATTGACAGAAATTGCACTTGCATTTGCAAATATACCTTTTGTTGGCACTGCACACTTAAAATCATTGTAGGACAAGTTCAAATTCTGCAATAAATTAAATGCCGCAAAATATTCTGGAATCCGTCCAGACAAATTATTGCGAGAGAGATCTAAGAATTGAGTACCTCTCAAAGAAGCCAAAGTAGAAGGAATGATTCCTTGAAAAAAGTTACCATCCATATATAGTGTTTCTAACATTACACACCTGCCAAGAGTGCCAAGAATTTCACCAGATAACATATTGTTGGAAACACTCAAGTAACCAAGGTTCTTCAAGTTTGCAACTTCCACTAGGAGAGAACTTGTCAAATAGTTTTCAGATAGGTCCAAATGTGATAATGAGGAAAGACCAATAACTAGTTGAGGTATTGGCCCACTAAACTTGTTATGTGCTAGGCTCAATGACAACAAATTTTTGCAGTCACCCAAACTTGGAGGGATGCTGCCATGAAGACTCTTTTGATTCAAACCAAGTTTAATTAATGAACTTAAATTTCCTAGAGAGGATGGGATATTTCTCGAAATTCATTCTCTGACAAGTCCAAATCTTGTAGGTTCTGAAGCTTTCCAATATCAAATGGTAAATTACCTGTAAAGTGATTGCCAACAAGCCATATTCTTTCCAAGTTGATGAGATTTTGTATCCTATAAGGAATGCTCCCTAATATCTGATTATAACCAAGTTGTATTTTTCTAAGCTTAGTGGACAGGTTGCCAATGGTTTCAGTCAACATTCCTCCAAAGTTGTTATCGCCAAGATCAAGTAGCACTAAACCAGTGGCATTGTTCAAAGAGGGCAGAAAGCCCAAATCAACAATGTGACCGCTCCCAAGATGATTGGATGCGATTGACAATCGGTGAAGTTTATGCAGCTTCTCCATAGTTGGCACTTCTCCAATAAGGTCATTTTCTGATGTATCAAAATAAAATAGGTTTGAGGCATTGGAAATTGAAATGGGAATGGATCCAGTAAACTGATTAGTGGAAATACTAAGAATCTTAAGATTTTGAAGAACATTTCCTATTTTAGAAGGAAGACTCTCTGATATGGTTCACTACAACATCCAAAACCCTAATACCGGAGAGATTGAAGATTGATGCAGGAATGGTCCCAGACAAATTATTGACAGCAACAACAATAATCTTAAGATTTGTCAATCTGACAAAAGCATCAGGAATACTTCCTTGGAAATGATTTTCTGTTGCAGAAAATTTCTGAAGATATGATAAATTTCCTTAAGAAGAAGGAATACCTCCACTGAGTTCATTGTGCAATATGTATAATTTGAAGTTTTTGCAAAGAGGAACCAAACTCCATAGGAAGTTGCCCCACCAAGTTGTTGTAAGCAACATCGAAGTCAATGAGCTTAGAGCAAACAGATTAATTGGCCGGGATTTCACCGCTGATTGAAATGTTGTTGAGGTACAAAACTTCTAGTCTTCTCAGGTGGCCAAGTTCTAGGGGAATTATGTGAGCGAAGCTATTGTTTTGGAGGTGTAGAGCTATGAGAAAGCTTAGGTTACCTATATATGGTGAAATGTTGCCTAACAATTTCAGGGACCAGAGATCCAACAGGACCACCCTCTGGTGGTGGCGGCGGCCGCATGTGACACCGTTCCACTGGCAGAAATGGACGAAATCATTCCAGGAGGTGAAAAGCTTGAAGGGATCATCAGTTATTTGGGATTTTAATGCAAGCAATGCTAGTTGATCTGTTTCATTGATGGCATTGCCCATAGCAAGAAAAAAGAGAACAATGACCAAGACCCAATCAAACTCACTTGGAATTGACAATCTAGGGACTTCATTGAGAGTTTACTAGACCCAATCAATCCAAGATTACAAAAAACTATAACAACGAACTAGAATGAATTTAGTGGAATTTATTTATGTTAGAAAAAACTCTGCAAATTTATGTGGTAAAGTAAAATATAGTAATTGGGTTTTGATCATATCCTTCAATTATTTGATTTGATTCTCTTGTTTAAGATTTTAGACGAAGACCCAGTTCAACTCACGAAAGTCTTCAGAGATGAGTCTTCCAGGACTATAGCGCTAATGACCATGTCTTTAAAAAAAAATTATTCTCTCTCTGATCCACCAGTGTAAGAAAAATCAATAGAATCAAATTGTCTATTTTACACAAAATCTACATATTTTATTTCGGTCTGAAAAACTTAGATTTGTGCGAAAAATCTCTTTTGAAAAATCTAGGCCCATCCCGTTTAATGTGATTATTGATTTAAGCAATCCAATTAAAAATTAAGCAATCACGATCAATGTAAATAAGAGAGAGTAAGAGAAAATCAATCCATGACACAATATTTTTTACATGGAAAACCATAATTGGAATCCACTAACTTGAGATAAAACAACCGCGGACCCTCGACCAGACAAATAATCCACTATGCAAGAAAGGTAGTACAAGAGATATCTTACAAAGGCTAATCCAGGCTACACGAGTCTACTTACCGACACACGTCTTTGTTCACTCTACTGGTGTCTCCATGATCTCCACTGGATATTCACCACGATTGTTGAATTGCCACGATGCCAATAATTTCAAAATCCACCAAAATCTACAATCTTATGATCCACTAAGAAGGTTCACTTTTTGAAGAGGAGTGAAGAACTTATACAAACTTGATGATGAACTTGAAGTTCCTATGGCTAATGTATCATCAAGCAATTGAGAGTTACAAAGAATCCTCGCTACAAGTTCACTCTCAAAAATTAAACTTGTTGGGACTGTGAGACACCAGAAATCAATCACACATAATAACACAAGAATATTTACGTTGTTCGACAATTGCCTACGTCCACGGAGAGTTATCCATTTTAGAATTTTCCCGGAGGGATTTTACACACTCACACCTCACTTACACACTATAGCACTCTCACTTCTCACAATCTCTCAGATTACACAAACTGTAATCACTTGTCTATCCAACCCCTCCTCCTCACCTCAATTTATACACAATTGAGAGAGGAGCTCATTGGTTGCCACCAACCCCTTCCATTAGCTAATGGGATGGGTGAAGTGGAAGAGTGGGACAGCCAATATCCATAGTGGTTTCTCCATTTGAATGGGCAGTGGAACACTAACAATTCTCCCCCTCCATGCCCATATGAAGCTGACTTCTCATTTGAAGTCCATCCCGACAATGTCTCTGCAGATTTCGAGTTTGTTTCTCGAGACCACCTTTGTCAGTATGTCAGCTGGATTCTTATCTGTATGGATCTTGATGAGTTCCAATAATTGCTTTTCCATCACTTCGCGTATCCAATGATACCGAATATCAATGTGCTTTGTGCGAGAATGGTACATCGAATTCTTGCTCAGGTCTATGGCACTCTGGATGCACCGTGAACTTTTCTTGCTTTAATCCCAACTCTTGGAGAAACCGCTGCAACCACATCATCTCTTTCCCAGCTTCCGCCGCGGCAATATATTTTGCCTCGGTTGTGGATAAAGCAACACACTTCTACAACTTGGACTGCCAAGACACAACTCCCCCTGCAAAAGTGAATAGAAATCCTGATGTAGATTTTCTACCATCATGATCTCCTGCTATATCGGAATCCGTATAGCCTTCCAAGACTAATTTAGCATTTCTAAAGCACAAACACATTTTTGCCGTACCCTTGAGGTACCTCAGAATCCACTTGACTGCTTCCCAATGCTCTTTTCTTGGATTGGAAAGGAATCTGCTTACTACTCCAACAGCATGAGCAATATCTGGTCGGGTGGACACCATTGCATACATCAAACTCCCTACGGCGGATGAGTAAGGAATAGCCTCCATCTCTTCTCTTTCTTTAGTAAAGGAGGGACAAGAACTCTTGTTTAGCTTGAAATGATTAGCCAGCGGAGTATTGACTGGCTTGGAATCTTTCATGTTGAACTTTGCCATCACCCGTTCAACGTACTTCTCCTGTGACAGCCATATTTTCTTGGCTTTCCTGTCACGCACAATTTGCATGCCCAACATTTGCTATGCAGGGCCTAGGTCCTTAATGTCAAAGGACTGTGATAACTTCTTTTTCAGTGATCTGATTGCTGTGGCATCCTATTCAACAATCAGCATGTCATCAACATAGAGCAGGAGTATGATGAAGTTTCCATCGGTAAATTTCCTGACATAAATATACTGATCTGTAGCAGTTCTCTTATACTCATGACCCACCATGAATGAGTCAAACTTCTCGTACCACTGTCTAGGCACTTGTTTAAGGCCGTAAAGACTCTTCTTCAATCTGCAGACTAAGTTTTCTTTCCCTTTTACTTTAAAACCTTCTGGCTGTTCCATGTAAATTTCTTCCTTCAGATCACCATGGAGAAATGCCGTCTTCACATCCATCTATTCAAGTTCCAAATTCAAACTGGCCGCTAGTCCCAAAACTACTCGAATGGATGTCATTTTCACAACTGGCGAGAAGATTTCATCAAAATCAATACCTTTCTTCAGCCTAAAACCTTTGACAACCAATCGAGCCTTATATTTGACTAGCTTTCCGCTGCCATCTTTCTTCAACTTGAACACCCATTTGTTCTGCAATGGTTTTCGATCCTGGGGAAGTTTTACCAAATCATAAGTCTGATTCTTCTGCAAGGACTGTATCTCTTCTTGCATAGCTAGATGCCAGCTACTCTTCTTCTTATGATTCTGAGCTTCTTGAAAACTTTCTGGCTCTCCCTCATCAGTAAGAAAAATATAATCAGAAGTAGGGTATTTTGACGACGGCTTAGACTCTCTTGTTGATCTTCGCAACTGTGGACTCGCAGTCTCTGGCGGAGGGGGTTGTGGCTCCCCCTGCTCAATACCCTCTTCTTCTGGATCTTCTTCTTCCGGCAATCCATCATGCAACTCTACATCATTAGCTGCATGCTGTGGTAGCTCTTCTTCATGAGTGGCATGCTGTGATGGTACAGGATTGGGAACAATTTCTAAAACATTATTAACTTTGGGTTTGGCTGGTTGTCCAAAGTCTTCTAAGGTCTGACCTTCTTGAAATACCACATCTCAGCTTCGAATGACCTTTTTGTTTTTCGGATCCCATAATCTGTATCCAAATTCTTCATCTCCATAGCCAATAAAGATGCATGGAGTAGCTTTATCATCCAGCTTATGTCGGTGCTCCTTGGATACATGTGCAAATGCTTTGCACCCAAACACTCTCAAGTGAGAGTAAGAAATCTCCCTTCCAGACCATACTTTCTCTGGAATTTCAAAATTCAGTGAACTGATGGTGATCTGTTGATCAAATAGCATGCAACACGAACAACTTCTCCCCAAAATGGCTTTGGCAGCTTTGCCATTTTTAGCATACATCTAACCTTCTCCACAATGGTCTGGTTCATTCTTTCGGCTACACCATTGTGTTGTGGGGTTCCAAGAACAGTCATCTCATGTCGGATGCCGCGAGCAGCATAGTAGGCTTCAAACTCCTTTGACGTGTACTCGTCTCCATATTCTGTTTGGAGACACTTCAACTTCTTTTCGGTCTCCCTTTCCACCATAGCATGAAATGTTTGAAAATGCTGGAACACCTCAGCTTTAGTTCTTAGGACATAAATCCATACCTTCCGTGATGCGTCATCAATAAATGTCAGGAAGTATTTTCTGCCACCCAAAGATTCCACTTCTATAGGACCGCATACATCAAAGTATACTCTGCTCAACAACTCTGATTGTCTTCTAGATAATGAGTGGAAAACAACTCTATGTTGCTTCCCACACAAGCAGTTGTCACAAGGGTTCAATTTCGCATCTTTGGCAAAGGGAATAAGTGACTTCTTTTCCAGAATTTGCAACACTTTCTCTCATGTGTTTATGCCACAAATTTGGTGATGCCTCATCTTCTGTTGCGTTAAGGCTATCTAAATGCACCTCCACATGAGTCTTGTACAAAGTGCCACTTGTCTGTCCTCTAGTTACCACCAAAGATCCCTTTTTTCAACTTCCATATGCCTTTACTGAAGTAGTTCTCATAGCCTTGTCGATCTAAGGATATCCCTGAGATAAGATTCAGGCGTAAATCGGGAACGTGCCTGACATCTTTCAACACCATCGTGCACCCAACTTTGGTTTCGATGCGAACATTACTGATTCCCACAATCTTTGAAAAGCTGGAGTTGCCCATCTTCACTGTACCAAAATCTCCAGCTTGGTATGTACTGAAGAACTCCTTCCGAGGTGTGGTATGGTAGGAAGCTGTTGTATCTACCACTCACTCGGTGTCGTTGTCTGACATATGGAGGCATTCTTCTTCTTCAACAGAGAATAATGCAATATCCTCTGAGATAGTAACTGTAGTGTTCCCATCTTCAGTGTTTGGTTGTCTATTACCTTGTTTTTGTTCTCCCTTCAAGGCATAGCAATATTTCTTTATGTGACCCTCTTGGCCACAATGGTAACACTTGAACTTCGACCGGTTCGTACCTTCTTTGGATTGCCCTCTGTCTTGAAATCTTCCTTTGCGGCGTCCTCTGCTTTTGCTTCTTCCTCTGTCTCTACCTCTACCTTTATTTTCTATGACGAGGGCATGGGATTGATCTCCATCCAAGTCTTTCCGCTTTGTCTCTTCATTATACATGGCGTCAGTGACCATGCTCATGGCTAGTTTTCCTTCTAGTGCAGAGTTGCTGAGAAAAACTACCAACGTCCCCCAGCTATCCGGTAAAGAACTGAGCAGTAGAACGGCTTGCATTTCATCGTCTAAGCGCATCTTGACGGTTACAAGCTGATTCACCAGACTTCTGAATTCACTGGTGTGCTCGGCAATAGACATACCATTCTTCAATTTCAAATTGACAAGCTTTCTCATCACCAAGGCTTTGTTTCGAGCGGTCTTTGACCGGTACACGTCGTCTAACATTGTCCATAGAGCATAGGCATCTGTCTCCTCAGCAACATGATAGTACACACCGTGGTCTATCCATTGTCCAATACAATTGATAATCTTGCGGTTCATCTTTATCCAGTCATCATCCTTCACTGTTTCTGGTTTAACCCTTTTTATAAAAATAGGGTTAAACAGGTCTTTATAATACAAGCTGTCTTCCATCTGTGACCTCCAAATTACATAATTGGAATGAGTCAACTTGAACATAGACTCTGAAGGCGACGGTGATTCCCCTATCAACACTTGTCTATACAGAAAATAATCTCTGTCTGAAAAAAAAACAAACAGGCTTCACTGTTGAGTCCAGACTAGTCAAATTAGCCAGAAAAGCACTTTGGATTGTCTAAATACAAACTGAAACTTTTTGAAATCTGATTTGCAAAATCTGACCATACAGATGTGTTCGAAATACTTCAAATAGTTGGAAAGCACTATTGGATCTTCAAAAACGGACTCAGAATGACTCAGATCGTGCCAAAATAGTTTGGACGGTTCTGATCTACAGGTGTACCTTAGCCGCGAAGTACTGGATCACTTCTTCCGTAGGTTGACTGGTCAACTGAAGGGTTGACGTGGCTGACACGAGTCCGACACGTGGCAAAAAGTCTCACACGTGTCACTGACGTGGTAGGTGACGTGGCAAACAGGTGGCGTTGACGTGTCAGACACGTGGCGCTGACTGGGTGCTAACGTGGTCGTCTTCCTCCTTGAGACTCGTGTACAGCGCGTGTCTGCACATGGGATGACGCATCGTCTGCTTGTACGGCGCGTGGTGGCATGTGATGAGACTGGTGTTCACGCGCTTCATTTGGGTGGTACGTGTGGGCGCGTGAATGGGCTTCTGGGACTCTGCTTTGCAGTTTTGGACTCCTCTATTCAAGACCTTGCTCCTGGTATGCTCAAAACCTAATTTTGAGCAACTTGATTTCTGGCAGTTTCGAAAAAACGCACTTTGTTTTTTCGAAACACGACCGATTTAGCTTTGATACCACTTGTTGGGACTGTGAGACACAAAAAATCAATTACACACAATAACACAAGAATATTTACGTGGTTCGGCAATTGCCTACGTCCACAGAGAGTTACCCACTATAGAATTTTCCCGAAGGGAGTTTACACACTCACACCTCACTTACACACTATAGCACTCTCACTTCTCACAATCTCTCAGATTACACACACTGTAATCACTTGTCTATCCAACCCCTCCTCCTCACCTCAATTTATACACAATTGAGGGAGGAGCTCATTGGTTGCCACCAACCCCTTTCATTAGCTAATGGGATGGGTGAAGTGGAAGAGTGGGACAACCACTATCCATAGTGGTTTCTCGATTTGAATGGGCAGTGGAACACTAACAAAACTCTCTTACAAAATAAACTCTCTCAAAAGTATATTTCTCTCAAAAGTAAACTCCCTATGGATTTTGCAATGTTGAGCTCTAGAGAGGTTTTAGAGAGATAGAAAATGCTCTAGGAGTGATACAAAATGATCTTGGAGAGGTGCCTTAACAAATGAGCAAAGGGCCCTTTAAATAGACTTGAGGCAGGACAAGTTCACGGGCGTGGTCATGCACTTCGCGGGTTGCAGATAAACTTCTGGGTGCTGGACTTTCAGACTCTCCAAATCGTGGTCACGAAGGTAAATGTCACAGCCGCGGTATGCTTAATCGCGAGCACCATTGATATGGTCGCGGGCGCTACCGTGTGAACCGGCAGCATTTGTGGACTTTTGCACTGCTTTGTTGTTTCACAAATTCCATGGTCACCTTGCGTTGACAACTTATTTACAAGTTTCCTCCTTTTGATTCTCCATGATGTGAAAACATGACTTCACTAGACAAACAACCACCTTTGGATTTTGACCATCTAGACACTTTTTGAACGAAAACTTCATATTAAATTAGCTCAAGACAGATAGTTTCAAATTGATTGTTTTTAACATGCAACATCAGCTCAAGATGTTTGTTAATTTTTTCAAAAACTTTTTCCAACCAAAATCTCAAGTGATTATTTCAAGAAAGATCAAGATTCATTTTTGAGGCATGCTTTGAAAATTTTGTTCAACAAAATCTCAAATTGATTAT